AAGGATGTACAATCCACCAGCTTCACGCCCACCACCTATTCGGCGACCAGTCTTCCGATCCTGAAGAACACACGAAGACGAAGAAAAGATAATAGCGCAATCAAGATCACGAGTAATAGAACTGACTGATAATAGATTGTAAGGAAAGTGTGGAATATGGTAAACAAAAGGTAAGGAGACAGAGGAACTCAATGATACACAACCTGTACCAGTAACTTTGGATTGAGAACCATCTGCTTAGGTGACTGACATAGAAGAAACAGATGAGGTGGATGTGAGAAGACGAGGATCACCAGTCATATGATGAGTGGCACCCGAATCAATAACCCAAGAACGAGGAGGAGCTGTACTGGACAATAGACATGTAGGATCATTACGCTGTGCTAAAGTAGCAGTAGGACCAGAGATAGCACCACTCTCACTCTATCGTGCTCTGACCAACTCATCATATTCTGCACGAGTCAACTGTACTATACCTTGTCCAGAAGAAGATCCAAGGGAAGGAGTCCAAGGCTCAGTATCAATAGAAGCATGTAGACCCCGCAATTCAGGATGGAGGTCATAATAATAATCAACAGTGTGCCCAGAAAGCTGGCAATGAGTACAAAAACGGTTCGCTCAATCACCACTACGTGCTCCTCTAGAAGTATTACTACCACCACCAATAGCGGTACCTCGGCCTTGAAAACCACGACCACGACCACGGTAAGAACTATCAGAATTCCATTGTCCACGGCCGTTAATACGACCACGAGTCCCTTGACTTCCACGAGCCACCATAGCACTACTGTCTGAAATTGCTGAAGTCTTGGGACTGGAAGTGTAACGAGCAGCTCGAGAATACACTTCTTCAATGGAAGGAAGAGTGCTCTGAGAGGTAATCTGTTGACGAAGAGCACTATGATCTGGACCAAGGCTACGAAGAAAGAACACGGTTATCATGTCCGCTTCTCGTTGCTGCATCTGAGTAACTGTGGTAGCAGGTGGAAAATAAAACTTGAGGCGCTAATACAAAGATGCAAAACGAGCATAATGCTCTGCCAAACTAGCATCACCAATTTTGGCTTCAAATAAAGCCTCCCACATGTCACAAACTCGACTCATGTTATTCTGTCCAGAATACAGTAAAGCACACTTTGTCCATATCTCACGGGCTGTAGTGCAATCCATGAAAAGATTACGAATAGATTCAGCCATACTTCCCCATAAAAGTGTAGGCAAAGTAGCATCTACGTACTTCCATTCTTCTAGACTAGCTGAATCTGCAAGTGGTTCTTCTTCAAGCCATCTAGACTGGCGATTAGAACAAATAAAAGTTGAAAGAGCCATTGACCAAGAAGGGTAATTGGTACCGTCCAACTTGACCAAGGTATTGTGCAGATTAGTCATACTATAATATGAACCAAAAGATACTGAACTTGAAGAAGTACTATAGGAGCCCAACCCCGAACTAATAGACGGTGAATTAGATGAACCAGTAGACATCCTCACAAACCACTAATCGCTGGAAACTTAACCCGCGTATGTAATAAATAACACACCCCACTTATTTTATAACTTCTGCGAGTATCCGCAAATCTCAGTAATCCCACATGTCACTCCAACTAATTCAATCAATTCAATTCAACCACACTAATTCAGTCGTTCCAAATTCAGCTACTCTATCCACACAATTCAGAACACCATTTAACCCTTCGTAACATCATATAATAATATATAACAATCAAGCCTCATAAATCAACTACCCCACATCCAAATATCACTTTCAGCAGCCAAATATCACTTCCACACAACCCTCGGCCTCAGAAACTCCCCTAATAACATCGATTTCTGGGTTTCAATACATCAAAAACACACGAGAGATCTGAGGCGAGTGAATTAATGGTCAGACAACACTGATTTCTGACCTAGATCTCGCCGGATCTGAGGTCGCCAGCCCTGGGCGACGCCGGATGGAGGGTCGCTGGCCTTGGTCGACGCCGGACGGAGGTCGCCGGAGGTCGCCGACCCTGGGTGACGCCGGACGAAGGGTCGCCGGCCCTAGGCAACGCCGGATCTGAGGTCACCGGCCCTGGGCGACGCCGGACGGAGGTCGCCGGCCTGGGCGACGCCGGACGGAGGTCGCCGGCCTGGGCGACGCCGGACGGAGGGTCACCGGACGGAGGGTCGCCGGCCCTGGGCGACGCCGGACGGAGGTCGCCGGAGGGATCTACAATGGTGGTGGCTAGGGTTTGCTGTGAGAAGTGTTAATTTTAGGGTTTAGGTTTTTAATTTGTGCTCTGATACCATGTTAATGATAAAAGAGTAACTTACTTTATTTCAGAGATAACAAAGAGTATTTATAGGCTTAGGATTAAGCCTAATACATTTACACAAATACCCCCAACTTGCTAATACTCTAAAGTAATAAACCCAACAATATATATACGTATACACATATAGGTGTAGAGAGTACGTCTGGATGTATGGAAAAAGGTAACAACAGGCGCGTTTCCTACGTCAAGACGTAATACGAAGATTACGTTGAAGTGCATTATCTCTTAACATCCCATGTTAAATCAATCGAGAATCTCCCCGTTGCCAATCAATCTCAAGTTTTCTAATTTTCGTTAAGATACTTTATTACACCATGACCTTACAAATAGGCGTCCCGATTCTCGTATGTGGATAAAGCTAAGTGCACTAGGGAAAATAGAGGCGTGCCATTAGACATTATCCGCCATTTACTAAAGGTTTAGGCTTGAAGTTTGATTAACGATGTTCTCAGTCAATGACGGATAGTCTTGACCTTACGGATGGATGCGTGTATGTTTATCCGGTAGTGCAATTTGCTTACATCAACTGCTGGAACGACTCCACTAAAACTTGATTTCCACATTGTCAAACCTAGCGTCAGACAATATTTTCGAGTACTGGTAAGCAAAGCCAACACGTGCTAATCTGATTTTTTCGGTTTGAGGATATCAAGTGAGACAAAAAAAGCACAGAAGCTGCTAAGGTTCGTGAGTCATTTTGATTTGGTTCTTATCCGATGTTGTGCGTAACAAGGCTCAACACTTCGTACGATCGTGCGTGCATTAAACTAAGGTCTTGAGATTGATCAATTTTTTATTATTGTCACCTTATCTTGCTATACCTAATAGCTCATGTAATCTTCATTATGATAAATGCATAAATTATACAATTCTCTTCCACATATTTTTATCTTGATATCGAAGCTTTTGTTGTCTCCGAAAGCGACTATTGAATCTTTCTCCACAGTGGTAGTAGCAACGTCGGCTGCTTCAGTGACTGTTTCCACTTAGCCCGCCGATCTTAGAAGCTCAACACTTTTTGTAGCTCTTTTCAGAAAAACCAACACCGCCATTAGACTTATTGCCCTCAGATGAGTTAGCTCCTGAAATTCCATCGCGTTCTGCCGCTCCACGCATGCCATTGCACTAGGGATTAGTTACTTCACACCAGAAGCTTCTACACGTGTGTTCGCTAATATCATCAACACGTCAACGTTGGCCACGAGCAATCCAGTCATCTGACACGACATTGGCCACATCATCACACGTGTCATCCGCCATGTCACCACGTGTGTCATACTCAATCGCATACCTGCCACGTCAATAGTTACATTGGCCTAATGTCACTTAGTCTGCATACACCAACTTATTTTCTCTTCAGCAGACCACACCGGTTCACCGATTCTCTAACAAAATGTGTTGATTACGTGAGCATTAGATGGATTGAAAACGGCTCCCCATTCATGATATACAAAATTTAGCTCAATCATGGAACGCCTTGGCTTTGCATTCAGTCTCTATGACCATACTCTCTATGTTCAGCAAATATCTCACGGGTATATGACGCTACTTTTATATGAGGACGACATGATTATTATTGGCAATCATATTGACATTACAAAGTTCTAGCAATATCACAGTCAACAGTTTGAAATGAAGGATCTTGGGTGACTCAACTATTTCCTAGGCTTGGAAGTTGCTTTGGATTCCTCTGGTTATTAACTTTCTCAAGCCAAATAGGCCACTGGTTTTTTGTCTCGAGCAAGACTTACTGATAACAAGACTTCTATTGAGACTAATGCCAAACTTGATGCAAAAAATGGGACTCCTCTTTCAAATCCTACATGCCAGTCTTGTATATCTCCATATTTCTCGTCTTGACATCACCTATGTTATCTATATTGTCAGTTGGCTCATTTTGGCACCATGTACAACTCACTTCGTTAGAATTTTTCGGACTCTTCAAAGTACCTTATTTCGTGGCATTTACTTTTCTACTCACTCTACCTTAAAGTTGTAAGCTTACTCTTATGCTAACTGATCAGGTAACCCTTTAGATCATCGCTCCACTATATTATTGCTTATTTGTGGGTAACTCACTTAGAATTGCAAGCTTATTCTTATGCTGACTGGTCAGGTAACCCTTTTGGTCATCGCTCCACTACAAATTATTGCTTATTTGTAGGTAACGCACTTATCTTATGGCATACCAAGAAAAAAATCATCATTCGATCTAGTATGAAAGCAAACTATCGTACACTCGCTAATACCAAATCAGAATTACTGCGGTTGTGATGGTTACTTGAAGACATGAAAGTCTGTCATAATGGTGGGATGGTCATTTATTGGGAAACCGCAATGATATTTAAATAGCACATGGTGATATTTTCCATGAGATCACCAAGCATATTAAAATAGATTGTCATTTCATACGATATCAAATGCTTCATGGCAATATTCCTCTTGTTTCTATTCAGACTATTGACGTCTTCACTAAGGCACATTGTTTTTTTTGGTCGATCACTAAGGCACATTTACTAAGGTGTTTTTTATCATCTTTTCTCAAATTTCAGGTAACTTCTTTTAAGTCACCTTGAGTTTGAAAGGATGTTAGAGATAACTAAGAGATTCTCCAGAGATAATTAAGAGATTCTCCATATCTCTTTTGATTGTGCATATCCTTAATTAATCGTAATTGATTGTAACTTATATTGTAATATCTTATTATCTTATATAATATCTTATAAAACCTATATACCTCATGTACTCTTCATTACTAGACACAAAAAAAAAATTATACAATTCTCTTCTACGTATTTTTATCTACCTTCTCCCAAGTCCCACCTCCCCTCTCTTCCATCTTCCGAATCAACCAGCATCCCATAATTTACAAACGAATCCCCAAAAATAAAAATGACAGACACAAACTGTCGCGAGGCTCCAATCACCACCTGTTTCTCGATGCACCCCAATCACAACAACTCCACCTCGATCATTCTCTTTCCCCTTTATCCACCACCACTGTAGCCGCCGCTGCCCGCCGCCAACACTTTGAAGATGTCGACCCCGAATAACCTCACCATTTGGACCGGATGGACGGGCCCGGCCCGGCTCAGCCTGCTCCTCCTGATGCACTTGATATGAAGCTGCTTCTCTGGCCCGGCCGACCGGTGGAAGCTGACGATGTCTCCAGCCCTCAAGCTCTTCTCCTTCACGAACCGGGTCCAACCCCGCGTCAGCACGTAGCTGTGGCTGCTGTTCCAATACGAGTACCTGAATCTCCACACTTTGCCTCCACTGTCTATGAAATTCAGCAAAACGCCCTTTGAAGTCGAAGGGCTCGTGTGGTTGCGCAGGGGGAAGTGCTTCTCCGCGTGTTGCTTCGGAATCACGAGCCGATTCAGCTTCCCAACGTCACTCTGCGTGACCTCCTTCTGGAAAAGGAGATGACAGGCCATCGCAGCCCGACCCGGCCCGGACGGATCTCCCATGGCTTCCATCATACTTACCCTTTTGCCGCTGCCGTTGGCGTTGAAATAATTTCTCTTGCTCTGCTCGAGCTCATCATAGTATGCGTGCTTCCGCAGCATGTCAAGGATCTCCTCTTTGGATTGGGAATACAGGAAAGCGGCTTCAAGATCGCAGTCTTCAGTGTCAGACCTCTGCTTGAAGTTGGTGACGGCACCACGGCCACGGAAGCGCTTGGCAGCAACGTCGTAGGCCATCGCAGCCTCGTCCTCCTCGTTAAAGGTGCCGATCCACACCCTCTGGTGCTTCTCGTAGATTTGTGCGCCCCAGCGGCCGTTCGGCTGAGGGACGACGCCCTTGTACTTGGACGAGGGCAGCTTCCTTGACTCGGCTTCGACGCTGCCTTCGCAGTCCAATATCACGCTCGCGCCACTGCCAAGACGGCAGAGGCTCCGCGGTGGCGTCGGCAGCTGCAATGATTTCAACGGAAGTTGAATAACATTGGAGTCGCTTGTTGAGCTGAGCTCGTCTATGCAGATTATGTCACCATCCATTTTTCGATTTTTCTGTTGAGAGAGAGAGAGAGAGAGAGAGAGAGAGAAAAGAGTAAGTGGTGGCTATGAAAGATTGGAGAGAGAGAGAGAGAGAGAGAGAGAGAGAGAGAGAGAGAGAGAGAGAAAAGAGTAAGTGGTGGCTATGAAAGATTGGAGAGAGAGAGAGAGAGAGAGACAGAGAGAGAGAGAGAGAGAGAGAGAGAGAGAGAAAGAAGAATAAGTGGTGGCTATGAAGGATTGGAGGGACTACGATGCCGGTGATATATATAAATAGAGGGACCTTCCACCAGTGCTTATAAGTTACAATATTGTCGTATGAAGACGTGGGCGTCTACTAGGGGGTCAACTCCAAGAGATAGGTTGTGCAAGGAACTAGGAAAGTTCCATTTTATAGACGAGATACGATACTATATACTAAATATTAAATCCACTCCTTTCATTGATCAAGTCATTATCATCATTGCTGCTGTTGTTATTATTATAGTATTCAAAGTATCTAAGTGTTTATATTTTACCAAGTTTTCGTGGGGGGCTGCAATGCAAAGTGAGATTTATACAGTGCTATTTATTATAAGTGACTTTCGAACACATGTATATCATGGGCAGAAGGACATTAGAAGTGCTAAAAATATTGCACGGCGCTTAAGGTAGTACCAAAAGTTTTTTCCAGATCACTTCAGTGCAAACTTCGATCGGTGTCGCCGGAAATCCAACGTGACCATTTTTTATTAATTTTTCCGTCTGACGTGGCTCACCGATATGCCCAGTCAACATATGTAGCCCAAAACGATGTTGTTTACGTATTTTGCCCAAAATATAAGCGCTAAATTGCAAATTATAAGGAATTTCCCAAATTGAAAACCCTAAGTCAACCCCAACCCCAAATCGAAACCCTATTCGATTTGCCCCCCAACGCAGATGGCGGAGGAGGATTGGGCTTGGAGGCAGCGTCAGAGGAGGAGGATTGGCGGTGAGATTTGGCCTCGAGCTCGCGCTTCTTTTGCTCGTGAATCTTTTGGATTTGCTTCTGCTCAATCACGAAGCGCTTGAAGATGAGCCGGCCGCCGGTTTCTTCGATGAGGATTTGGCGCTTCTTGAGTAGTTCTTGCTTGAGGAAGTCCATTCTGGGGTTTCGTTTTGGCTTCAAAATTGATAAGAGGAGGAGACAAATCTGCATGAGTTCAGTTTGGGCATTCCATCAAACATGTGGCAAGCAATTTCTCAATAGTGTTTACATTCAAAACAATTTGGAATCTGACATCTAGATCAAAGCCAAACATGCAAACATATTAAGAATCATCGAGCTAAAATCAAACTTAATCCGATTGTTGTTCAATCAAAAACTAGCTTTTGACACCGCTATTTTTTTATTTTATTTTTTTGGTAACCGAGAATCCGCCACCATTCCCCGGGGATAAGCCCGCGCAGGTAATCGGGGCGTCTATACCTCGGGGGAGACTAGCCCAGCAATCCACCTCCAAGGCTCCCCACTTAAATTACGGAACCGAGCGGAGATTCGAACCCAGAACCTCTGAGGAGAGAAGGAAAGCGCCCACCAACTCGGCCATGCGCAGGTGAGTTTGACACCACTATTTTCGTCCTCAAATAAATCGAGATTGAGTGAATAGAATCGTACCTTGATGAAAAGAGATTTTAGTCACAATTGATAATGAAGCAAGCGTGAACTGGCTTTGGAACTTGTCAACACTCTTTTAATATCGTCACGAGGACTTCGAATCAGATCCAGCAACTTTCGAAATTTTCAGTGATAAAACGGGGTGAAACAAAGCACTCTTGGTGCTCATTTGGAGATGAAGCCAGCAAAGATGACTTACGACGAACGGTAACGAACAACAACAAATAGTGACGAGCAATGTTAGTGTCAACCGGAATTGAAATCTATGAACGATTTGCAATCACGATTCCAGCTCTTCCAAGCTTTCGGTCAAAGAATAGGAAAAATAGAGCTTGACAAATCACAACTATAGACGCAGCTGAGAACAATAGCGACGACGATCTCACAGTGATTAAAATGAAACGATACGATTTTTTTTGTAGAGAGAGAGAGAGAGTCATAGTGAACGGCGTCCTTTTACACAACTAGCCACGTTGGATTGTACAAAGTTGTTTTATCTGTCCACATGGACTGGATTTCTTTAACAAAATGTCAACTCATTTTAATTTTTTAATTATAAATGCCACGTATTCATTTTGGCCGGAACTTCTCATCGGAGGCACTTAAGTGTTAGTTTTTTCTCTGATTTGATACTTAAGTGAGCCAACGAAAATTTTTGGCACTAATATAAGCGTTGTATGAAACTTTTAACCTTTTAGTGTCCTTCTGCCCATATCATGCATCCGATGCATATGTACACATTAAAGGGATAAATTTGAATTGTAAATTTATCCCACACCACTAAGAGGAACATATATCGAGATGTTGAAATTCAATGAACTCAAATGTGTCATCCTTTCCATTTTATTATTCACTTTTTTCCGTTCCTCTTCCGTTCTTTTCTTCTTGTTCTTCTCTATCCCCTCTCCTCCGTCACCGATGCTCCATCCTCCGTGTCCGTCATCCCTCTGGACGCCGTAAACCACCGCCATTTGTGCTGCTGCACTTGAATTGGTTGTGCCAGCCTCGGCCATCGCGTCCCTCTCTCGCTCTCAAAGGTCGTAAACCTCAGATTGCAACGTCCCTTGAGGTTTTGCTTTTGTCGTAAAACGTCCCTTGAGGTTGTCCGAAGAGAAGTAGGATTCCACATTTCCAAGTTGATGGGGGTTCACCTGACGAGAAATGAATATGTGGAAGTAAAGAGTGGGACCTTGTTTTTTGCCAAGTTCATCTCCCCCGGCTGAATGCTGACCCCCAACATGGCTCTTTTTTTTTTTCCTTCCAAACAAAAACAAGCCATGAAAAATCTTCCATGTTTATCCAGAAAAGCATTAATGGACATGTCAAGCAGAGTCTGTCCCATGATTCGGGCCCCGTTTGTTTCGCGTAAAATGAATGATTTGAATAACATTTTCCTAAAAATGATCTCTTGTATAATTTGAAACGATTGGTCAATAAAGAAAGTTTTCATTATCAATAATAATTTATTTCTAAATTTTTTCGTGGACAATGTAAATATTTTGCGTTCATTCATTTATAAGTAATATAAATGATCATTTTTAGGAAAATAATTTTTAAATTTTTCATTTTTCACAAAACAAATGGAGCTTCAATATCTAGGGTGGGTGGTCGTACAATCATTCAGTCCTTTAGCTTGTCCTTTAGCTTCAATTAGGAAACCTCACGAGCCCCAGACCACAATTTAATCATTGAATATTGAGATTAGATACAGATAGAAAATAATTTATAAGCTCATTTTGTATCGTAATGCGAAGAATCCTATATTTTTAACTAAATTTCTCGAGGAACCTGATGTCATTGCGATTGTAATACGTAGCCAATAAAATGGTTCCCTTTTGTTTTGTGTCAATCTTGGCAGATAAAATTCCATCCCTTCATAAGATCCGACCAACAATGACTTGTTCTTTGGGGCCAACACAAGGCGGGGCTTCATCCTCAGTTGCTTCCTTATTTCTAACATTTTTCTCACCTCAGACACATTGAACTCCCCCACTATACAACCTCGAAATTTAATCTGGACCATCACTTTTGGGTTCGTTGGAGTCAGCGGTTCAATCCGGTCATGTACTGGGTCGAACATCCGTGTCTTGTGTCCATGGTCGCACATGGTGAATAAAGGAAGACAAAAATTTTGTTTAGAAAGGATGGAAGTACAGGAACAAGATGCTGAAGGGGTCGTTAAAAAGGATTGTTTTTTTTATCCTCGGGCCCCAATGCTAATCACGGTGCCGGAATTTCGAGCGGTATGCATTGCTCGTGTCTATCTCGACCCCACTAGTTAAAAAAAAAAATGCCCGTACGATAGAACAAACTTTGTTGTATTCGAATTGATCCGGTCTTTTCCGTGATTTTCTTTGTTTAGAAATCTAAAGGGGCAACGTTTTTACACATCACCTCAACTTGTGCGTCGAATTCAACATGGACAAAAGAGGAGGAGAGGAATTCTGGAAATTTGAGGGGTGATAATGTGGAATCTTGCAGATTTCTCGATCTGAGCTGGGGACCCCCCCATTTGTCAAGTTGATGCAAAACCGAGAGCTCCGAGTCAGTGGGTTCTGAATTGGGTTCAATGGTTTTGCGATGTTCCTGATGCTGATCAAAAGAGCTACACCCACACCAGTAGATTCCCACCAATCCTCATCCGCCTCACGTACATGTCAATCAGTATTAATGATTAATCTTTTGTGGGCAACATCGATTATGGAGTTGCAAACAATTTCGGTGAGGAACTTTTTGCTCGAGAGGCATTGCACTAGAACGAAAAGATGCCATCCTTTCAATGGGGAAAGGTATAAACAAGAGTTCTTTTTTTGTTTCCTTTTCTCTTTTTTTGGGGGGCATGGGCCAAGCAACGAAAGACAATAAATTGGCCAAGCTCTTGTCATCCAATATGGACCCCATTACGTCTCTAGTGGCGATGCACATTTCGACTCGATCTCCACCTCCATTTGACATTTTATAAATATTATCGGAAAGCTTCGATTCGACGGGAGTTTCTCGTTTGTCGCGGCCTCGTGAGTCTTGTTTTCCGGCATCCTTGTACTGGTGGAAATCTACCACTAGTCGAGCCTCTCTGTTCTCTATAGCTTCATTCAGCCGTGCATCGTCCTCGGTCGTGGTCATAGTTTTGTTTCTTTGTCAAAATCAAATTACTGTCCTCATTTGTTTGCTAGTTTTAGTCTTAGTTTTCTTTTTGTGATCTTTGTCCTTTTCAATTCCCCAAAGAGGGAAAAAAAAAAAAAAAGAAAGCTTTCTAGTTAGTGCCCCAATCTCAGCATCTCATCTTCGGAGACTTCCCCACTTGTGGACCACACTCAATAATGCCCACCAAAGATGTTGTTTGTTGTGATTACTGCTTTTCAATTTCGAGTGTAGTTGACAAGCGAAGTCGCCGTCAAGTAGCCGTAAACACCGGAGTCAAGCACATCTTCATCTAGTGGCCAAAGTTGAGCGCCGTGAGGTGATGCAATTTTATTTGGCACGATTCTAGTTGGGTTTCCACACGATTTTATCAAGATTGTGTGAGAAAAGAGGTATCAACTTTCTGATCATTTGTTTCTTTGGCGTTTGTCTAAAATCCGATTCAATGTATCCACATCCCTTATCTTGTATAAAAGGCCCGGCTTACCGACGACGCTTTGGTCGCAGACATTAGGAGATAGTTGCACTTGTCATATGCAAGGTATATGCTTCAGCTTGAGGAGAGTGTTGAAGTACATCAATGAATATTAGTCGATAGTTAAGTTTGTCGTAAATAAAGATATAAGAGTTTATTAGTATTTCTCATGCTTTATAAATGGAGCCATCTTGTGTAATCTTTCATTAGGGTATTGAATAAAAATGTTAAAATGCACATGTGGGTGGTATTAGAAAATTAAAGTCCTACGTCAGAAAATTACTACGGTGCGAAGTAGTTAAATATATCTTAGTTGTCCCAAAATTCATGTACTTAAGTTCGTGAATGAAAGCGGATACAACTATATATGTTAACATTCTCAGATTTGCGCTCCCTCTTAGTGATCTTCCTAGGTGAAAATATCAATTTTTTGTTGCGCGCTTCCAACAAAAAAATGTAGCTTTCAAGTCCTTTTTTTTTCTCTCCCTCTATGTTGAATATCCTAGAATATTTACATGTAAATTTTAACATATGCCAATAATATATTTTAGTTGTTTAACTCCTCCATTTCCAACTGATTTCAAGTTTTGGTATTTTAGTTATTTATTTAATTACATCATGACCTTTCAAATCGGCGTGCATTAAGCTACGGTCTAGAGATTGATAAATTTATTATTTTCTAAGTTGGAGATGACTTAAGATATGACTTCCGATTAACACGACATATTATGTCCACACAAAAAAGAGCAAACAATTATAGAATCATGCGCCAGGGGAATATTGAATTCGGACGATATGATTATGTGTCATTTCACATGCTTTATGTTGTTCATTATTTAATGTACATGCAAATTTTTCCAATTTGCTAATGATGCCTCCAAAAATACAATAATTTTTTTATATGAAAAGGGCCAAAGCTGGATACAAAAATTTGACGTCGTAAATCTATTATCCCTATTTTATCACCTCATAAAACATGAAGTAACTCTGTCGAAGATAATGAAAATAAACTTATATCCAAACGCTTATCAATTCCAAGATTAGCAAGTTGATCAGCAGTTACCCAAATCATTCGACGACCCTCGTCAGCCATTGTGAAAAAAAAAAAAAAAAAGCAAAGCAAGAAAAAGAAAACACAAAAGAAAAGAATAAAATTTTAAATTTTAAAAATTCAGAAAAAAAATTAAAAAAAATTAAAAAAAAATTCTCCATGTTAATGTCAACCGTGCCACATAAAATATCTGGCATCCAAGTCAGCGATTTTCTACCAAAATTGACCGAAAGGACTACATTGCAAATCGTCAAAAGGTTTTGTGACTAAATTGGCCAAATTGATAAGTTCATAACTAAACTGGCATATGTACAACAGGTTTAAGACTCTTTGATATTTTCCCCAAATTGAAGCAATATGCTATATCTATTGGATTGAGTCTTGACATGCACCCCGTGATTGACGTTGAATGACTCATTCTTGTCATGAGGGGCGCGACTGACAACATTTCTTCCCCAGCCCTATTTCTGGCTAGAAATAAAAAAAAAGTAGCATTTGATAACGATAAAAAATTTCTATTCCCCGAATAAAAATTCGTTTGATAGGTTATTCTCAAATTTATGATCCTGGCAGCCAGTGAACGGCGAGCAGCGGCGGCAGCGGGTG